GTGTGTGTGTGTGTGTGTGTGTGTGTGTGTGTGTGTGTGTGTGTGCGCTCCAGGCTCCAGAGCTGTTCACGGTGGAGAGAGCCTGGAACGCTTTGGAGATAGCTGGGAAGAAACTGCTGGGACCACTGGGAATGAAAACCCTCGATCCTGAGTAATACATTTAAGCTTCTAACTAAACGCCGCAGCACAACGCGTCTTCAGTAACAGCAGTGAAAGACTTAAATGGCTCTTATTGTGTTGTCTCAGTGACCTGGTTTACTGTGGCGTCTATGATAACGCACTGGACAATGACAACTACAACGTGGCCAGAGGCTTCAACTACCACCAAGGACCGGTGAGTCCCACGTCTGTCACTGCAGATGGTTGAACGCAGTGCTGAACAGAACGCCAACCAGAAGAAATGTTTAAAAGTAAACTTTAATAATGCATCAGATCTCCACTGGTAGAAAAGTCAGAGACATGGACATGGAAAATCATCCACCTACAGGCTGCACTCAGAGGATTCACTGTCAGATTTCGGATACATTACCTATAACGTGTCACACAACCTGTTACACACTTTGTGTTTGTGCGTAGGAATGGCTGTGGCCAGTCGGGTACTTCCTGCGTGCTAAACTCTACTTCGCAAAGAAGCTGGGAGAAGACACGTACACCAAAACGGTTACCTTGGTGAAAAATGTTCTGTCACAACATTACACTCACCTGGAGAGGTAGGCCGCTCTCCCCTGTACCTCTGATGAAACGACTGCCTTTTATTGCTTTTCTTTACTAACCTGTCCCTACCTGTCCACCTCCACCAGGTCTCCATGGAAGGGTCTGCCAGAGCTGACCAATGAGAATGGCCAGCACTGTCCATTCAGCTGTGAGACCCAGGCCTGGTCTCTAGCCACTGTGCTGGAGGTCCTGTATGACCTGTAGACCTGTGCAGAGGGCCACCTGTTGCTCAGTTCATCACCAGCCAATCACAGCATCCACTCAGAAAAGTGGACGAGAGGGTCAGTGTGGATGGAATCACACTGTTTTCTTTTTTTCCAGAGGGGGGGGTTCTGGTAGCATTTCCAAATAAATACTGCAGTGCTTAAAGTGTTTACTAACCAGCCTTGATTGCATTTGTTTGTAGTTAAGTTTGCAAGCTAAATAAAAGATAAGGTCCCAGCAGAAAGCTGATGTAGCTCATATTTCCTATGTTTCCCATATGACCTGAATGCAGCACATTTTAAAGTCCAGCCAGTCTTTAGACTGTAGCAGCTGCTAAGTGTGGTGAACGTTAGCGTGTCTGATCCTGCAGACATCCATACCAAAGACATGACCTTGGTATGGATGAAGAGGTGTTTGGTAGGCGTGGACTCACAGGGTTGGTGTTAAAACCATTATGAGCCACTGTGCATTCTGTCCCCATAGCAGTTATTTTAAATAAAAAGAGAAGATGTTTTTCTTTGTGGGTCATTGCTGTTCACCAAGGCTCATGTTTGCTACTGAAATCTGCTGTGTGCTTTTATCCTACATCTGTCACAGTGTCCTGTCTCCTGACCTGCAGCGAACACCTGCTGCACGACGAGCTGTAGCAGCACTGGTAGCGTGTTAATGTTGGTGTGAGTGTAGGTTAAGTTTAGCTTCTCTATGGAACAGAAAAACCCTCCAGCCTGTACCTTTACACCTGTCATACAGAGAGTGCAGAATTATTAGGCAAGTTGTATTTCTGAGGAATAATTTTATTATTGAACAACAACCATGTTCTCAATGAACCCAAAAAACTCATTAATATCA